AGAAGCTGTCGTCTCGTACCGTCTCGTGCCAAGGCGCCCATGATCTAGGCACCCGCCTAGCATGGCCTCCTGGACCCGCCTGAAGATTCGTTTCTGTTCTGAGTTTATAAACGTATTCGAGACAAAGGAGCTCATTAGACACCTGTCTAATGTATCAAGCATCATATGAAGGTTTAACATTCAATATAGTTTATCCGACAAAGAAAGTTAGATAAGACATGCCAACAACAAGTTATAGTTACGCAATGACATAAGGAATACTACCAAGATCTCCAGCCGGGTATTGATAGCGACAGGTTTATGTTACAATCACTAACACGTATTTTAATATGGCAGGACGCCTCTATGACATAAGTCATTATGTTATATTACTTTTCAGTATAGATATACGAAATTTTGGATTAAGCCCGCATTTTTATTTCATATACCCCCCCCCCCTTCACTTTTCAAGGGAAGTAAATATAAATGTGCCAGAAAATTATTTATATATTTGAAAAGAACAGTGAACGTGCTTTCTACTGATATGTAGACTGGGTGTGAACAAGATGAAAGGGCAAACGTTGTTGTCAATTAATATAGCGAGGTAAATCGAACTCTCGGGGGGGGGGGGGGGTCACGTGGAACAATTTACTTTTTAAACACAAACATTTATCGTAACAGCATTTATTTTACTAGCTTAAAACATGAACATAACATATAATTCGTGGTGGTGTCAAACCATTATTAATAGCACGGTGCTGTTAATCAATTTATAACAACATGGTGGTGATAAACCATTAATAATAACATGAGGGTGTTAAACTATTAATAATAACATGGTGGTGATAAACCATTAATAATAACACGGTGGTGATAAACTATTAATAATAACATGGTGGTGATAAACCATTAATAATAACACGGTGGTGATAAACCATTAATAATAGCATTGTGCTGATAAATTATTAATAATAACATGGTGGTGATAAACCATTAATAATAACATAGTGGTGATAGACCATTAATAATAACATGGTGGTGATAAACCATTAATAATAACACGGTGGTGATAAACTATTAATAATAACACTGGTGGTGACAAATCATTCATAATAACATGGTGGTGATAAACTATTAATAATAACATGGTGGTGATAAATCATTAATAATAACACGGTGGTGATAAACCATTAATAATAACATGGTGCTGACAAACCATTAAAGATACATTATGGGGGATAAGATAACGCGATGACAGTTCTCGCTATAATAGTTAAAAACTAGATAGTGTAAAGGTAATTTGCTGAAAATTTCAGTCAAATTGATCCACCATGAGCCGAGATAGAAGCTCGTGAAATTTTGGCATAGTCTCGGTCATCATTACTAAAATCATTAATATAAACAGCAAGTCTCGATTATCCGCTTTTCTTGATTTAATTATCAACGGCCGTTAGCGGCATATAGGAATTTAATCCAGCCAACATCGAAGGCTAGCCGTGACATCGAGAGTTTCTTATGGTCTGGATAAGTTAATTAATGTCTAATTGATAATTTAGATAACATTTCAGGCCTAAAGAAAGACTTGTAATAAGCAGACTTTACTCTTGCATAATGCATGTTTAATAATAACATGGTGGTGATAAACTATTAATAATAACATGGTGGTGATAAACTATTAATAATAACATGGTGGTGATAAACCATTAATAATAACATGGTGGTGATAAACCATTAATAATAACATGGTGGTGATAAACTATTAATAATAACATGGTGGTGATAAACCATTAATAATAACATGGTGGTGATAAACTATTAATAATAACATGGTGGTGATAAACCATTAATAATAACATGGTGGTGATAAACTATTAATAATAACATGGTGGTGATAAACCATTAATAATAACATGGTGGTGATAAACTATTAATAATAACATGGTGGTGATAAACTATTAATAATAACATGGTGGTGATAAACCATTAATAATAACATGGTGGTGATAAACCATTAATAATAACATGGTAGTGATAAACCATTAATAATAACATAGTGGTGATACACCATTAATAATAACACGGTGGTGATAAACTATTAATACTAACATGGTGGTGATAAACCATTAATAATAACATGGTGGTGATAAACCGTTAATAATAACATGGTGCTGATAAACTATTAATAAAAACATGGTGGTGATAAACTATTAATAACACGGTGGTGATAAACCATTAATAATATCATGGTGGTAATAAACCATTAATAATAACTTGGTGCTGATAATGTAGTGAGGCGGAATTTTAATATGTTTATAGGTTTTATTATGTCAAGTAATATAGTGCATTGAGTGAGTGCACCTTTAAACTAACAAATTGACACTAATTTTACCTGCAACTGGTCTATAATAACATCTCTCCTTTAACTTGGCTTGTTAACCTGTACTGTTTTCTTAGAGTCCAAATCTTGGGGTGAGTACAATTCTACTCCCTTGGTTACAAGCAAGTTTTCTTTTTATCTAAACCCCACTTTGGACACCAGACATTAGACAGATTTCGAAGTGTAAGGACATTTTGATACCTTCAATCAAATTGTAAATTTATTTTCAGAGAATTGTTTCAGTTATACAGGTAATTGTGCTAATTCTCTTATTTTGGGTAATTGGGGTTTAGATGTAGCGGATGTAGGAATGATAGAAATTGTAATATTAAGCAACCATTTTATTTAAATAGATAGAAAATAACATGTATAGATCATTAGTTATTCATATATACATATATATAGTAGGTTATAAGGTACCGTTTTGAAAGTATATTGTATATATAATCAGAATAATGTTATTTTCCAGAATATAGTTATCTGAAGATTTTGTTTACCATCTTGCTAGTCTTCGTTAAAAAAAACCTTCTTTGGGTATGTGATCAGTTTCTTATATATATCATTTAAGGCATATTGAATATATTTTATTTAGTTAGTGATGTATTTTTAGTGTGAAAATTAATGATATCAAGTTGGTAAATAAAGGCTTAAAAACCAAACACCTTAGTTTTTATTGAGAATTTACACCCACCCACCCCCCAGTTACAATAAACTATTAATAATAACATGTTGGTGATAAACTATTAATAATACCATGGTGCTGATAAACCATTAATAATAACACGGTGCTGATAAACTATTAATAATAACACGGCGGTGATAAACTATTAATAATAACATGGCGGTGATAAACCATAAAAAATAACATGGTGGTGATAAACCATTAACAATAACACGGTGCTGATAAACCATTAATAATAACATGGTGGTGATAAACAATTAATAACATGGTAGTGATAAACCATTAATAATAACATGGTGGTGATAAACCATTAATAATAACATGGTGCTGACAAACCATTAATAATAACACGGTGCTGATAAACCATTAATAATAACATGGTGGTGATAAACCATTAATAATAACATATTGGTGATAAACCATTAAAAAAAACATGGTGGTAATAAACCATTAATAATAACATGGTGGTGATAAACCATTAATAATAACATAGTGGTGATAAACTATTAATAACACGGTGGTGATAAACCATTAATAATATCATGGTGGCGATAAACCATTAAAATAACATGATGGTGATAAACCATTAAAAATAACATAGTGGTGATAAACTATTAATAATAACATGGTTGAGATAAACTATTAATAATAACATGGTGCTGATAAACCATTAATTATAACATGGTGGTGATAAACCATTATTAATAATATATTGGTGATAAACCATCAATAATAACATGGTGGTGATAAACTATTAATAATATCGTAGTGGTGATAAACCATTAAAAATAACATGGCGGTGATAAACTATTAATAGTAAACACGTGCTGATCAACCATCAATAATAGCATGGTGGTGATAAACTATTAATAATAACATGGTGGTGATTTGAGTTAAGGAAGATCTTTGAGCACAAAAATGAAAATAAAGTACGCTGTTATATTTATAGGCAGTAATTCGCCTTGACAATTTAGAGTGGTTCCATTCGACCCCAATTTTCGACCAATCAAAATCGGGGAAATTTCTGATTTCTGCTACAATCAATCATCACCACCATCCACATGTCATTATGTCTACATCTCCAATAGGTATATCCCAATATCTTCACTGACCCATGCAATCACAACGTCTACTACCATAATCATTATCCCCAGTCAACTTATATATAATATTCACCATTTCATCACTAATAGGTTTATGAAACCATCACCGTCATCATCATCATCTTTCAACATCTACAACTACCACCATCTTCTCTCCACCCAATCTTCTTTCAACACCCATCTTGTCATCACCATCAGTAACACCCGTATCTTTATCATCCTCATCTATAACAACATCATACCTCAACACCCATCTTGTCATCACCATCAGTAACATCCGTATCGTTATCTTCCCAATCTATAACAACATCATCCTTCAACATTCATCTTGTCATCACCATCACTAGCATCTGTATCCATATCTCCTCATCTATAACATCATCATCCTTCAACATCCATCTTGTCATCACCATCACTAGCATCTGTATCCATATCTCCTCATCTATAACATCATCATCCTTCAACATCCATCTTGTCATCACCATCACTAGCATCTGTACCTTTATCTTCCCAATCTATAACAACATCATCCTTCAACATCCATCTTGTCATCACCATCAATAACACCCGTATCTTTATCATCATCTTCTATAACAGCACCATCCTTCAACATCCATCACCATCACTAACATCCGTATCTTTACCATCCTCATCTATAATAACTTCATCCTTCAACATCTAATTGTCATCACCATTACTAACATACGTATCACCCTCACATGCTATCATCATTTCTTGGTAATCATAATAATTAAAATCATTGTCGCTATACAGAAACAACATCACCATCAGCCTAATCATCATGATAATCATCGCCAGTATCGTTATCATCATTATCATCATCATCTCCATCTTCAAGTCATTTCAGATTATAACCTTGGTAATCACAGTCATCAAAATCATTGTCGCTATCATCATTATCATCATCATCATCATCATCATCATCGTCATCACCATCGTCATCTTCCATTATATTATCCTCATCCGGATAATCATCCATGGAATAACGGATAAAGTATTTTTTAGGAAGAAGATCAACCAGTAAGATCTTCTTCGCCAGACTGTTAGCTAACTGCAGTTGTTCAACTTTCTCCTTTATTTCTAGTCCCAATTTCTGCCTGATGACCCTTATACACTTTTCTTCAAGAGATAGGTTAAAACATGCAAACTTGAATTCCTCCCTGTTCTCTGAGTGAAACATCTCCTCTCGTCCATCTTGTGCAGAATGAAACATTCTAGTTCGTCTATCTTGTTCATCCTCCATTTTGAAATTAACAGTCGAAACAATCTCTTCTTCTGGAGCCCCACTTCGATAAAGTAGTTGTCTAAGTTTATTTCTCTCTTTACTGTCAAAATCTTGTAAATGAACATCGTCATTGTAGTAATTACGTTCAGTAGATACAGACTGAAGATGCTGAAGGCAGCAGTTTTCAGCAACTAAATATTTTATTACATCAACAGTTTTCTCTGGATCAGAACAGGTAGGGAAAAGTAAAGCTCGCTGTATCAGTGTATTGCCATCTGGTCCTGGTAAATTCAGAAGTTTATGGCCACCTCTGATCAAACATGTTTTTAGACAATGTCTACCATAATCAAGATCCAAAAACTGTAAAGCAGATGTGTTATATTTTGTTTCTAAAATATTGATATTTGACCCTAATTCAAGTAGTAATTGTATAATAAATTTATTATTTTTCTTGGCCGCTAAGATCAAAGCAGTTTTTCCATTATTGTCCTGACTATTAATATTACCACCAGTCTCGAGTAGAAGTTTGACACATTCTTGAAAAGTTTCATATTGTTCACTCAGTGAATCGTCCATCGAATTTCCAGTTTGTTTCAGTTTAGACTTAGATATTAGGCACCCGATTACAGCACTGTGTATGGCTGTATGACCTTTATTGTTCTGTATATTAACATCACATGTAGGACCGTATTTTGTTATCAAGTCCAGGTATTTATGGTTCAATAAGAAAGCACCAATAATAAGAGGAGTGTTAGTTAGAGAATCTTTATGATTTATATCAATATTAGAATTAAACAACCAATTAAACTTCTCTGGTGTAAACTCATATTTCACTTGAGCCAAAAGATGAAAAATATTTCGATTTGTTGTTTCAGTAAAACTATTCACTAATGGCTTTAATCCTATATAATACTCAAAAATATTTAATTGGCCGAATTTCATAATATCATACAGTAGTTCAGGTCCATCAGCAACCAAATTAGCACCAGACTCGACTAAAAGTTTAAAGATAGCCAGAGTAGTTTTAAAATATCTTTTACTTTTCACCGTTTTTACAAAACAATGTCTACAAGCGGATAAACCATGATCATTAGTTCTATTTACATTAACAATATCTACAAGCACTAATTTAACAATATCTATATAGTGGGCGTATTGGGAGGCATACATTAAAGGCGTTGTTGTATTTACACTCTGGGTAGGGTCAGCACCATGTTGTATTAATAAAGTTATAATACCCACACATGTTTCTTTATCACCATGGTGATATATAGCACATGTTAAAGGCGAGTGACCCCCGACAACCATATTTAAGTCAGCACCGTGTTGTAGTAATAATGTTATAATACCTAAACTCGTATCTGTATCACCATGTCGTATTATAGCACATGTTAAAGGTGATCTACCAAATCCGTCAACCATGTTTAAGTCAGCACCATGTTGTAGTAATAATGTTATAATACCTAAACTCGTATCTTTATCACCATGTCGTATTATCGCACATGTTAAAGGTGATCTACCCAATTCGCCAACCATGTTTAAGTCAGCACCGTGTTGTATTAATAATAATATAATATCTAAACACGTATTTGTATCACCATACTTATAAATAACATATTCTAATGATTTATTTAGATTGAACTTGTCGAATTCAGCTCCAGCTTCTGTTAGAATGTTAGTACAGTTTAAACATTCGGCCACATTATCGGTGTTTTTTATACAGTAAAATAACGCAGTGTAACCATATTTAGATTTATAATTAATCATGTTCTTGATTTGATCATTACTTAAAAGAATTGACAACATTTGACCAGATTTAGCAAACATTAATATAGTTTTATCAGAGTCTGGATTGAGATTTAAATCAGAAACGGTTAAAAGATATTTAGTAATATTGAAACTATTATACTTAACAGATTCTAACAAAGCATTCCATACTTTATCGTCATGTTCAACCTGTAAATATAATTTCTTACTATAGAGATACTGAATACCTTCAACAAAATCTGATTTTATAGCACATGTCATTAACTGTATATTTAAATTAATATCAAGTTGACCATCAGATTGTAATATTATAATATTATTAAATAAACACTTAACAAGTGATAAATATCTTCTCTCTAATGATTGACAGGTTAAACTTATAATGACGTCTTGTAGTCTTCTGACGTCATCTGGCTGTAGTTCTTTTAATATGGTTTCCATTAGATCAATGTTGATGTCATTAACAGCTTGAGATAATCTGTAGGAAATAACAATATTGATAATTATGCTTACGTTTATTTAAATGGGTAGTTAATCCAAACAGTCTTATCTTTTAATTGTTACTTCTCTATCTGTTACTACTTTGTACGGTAAATTAGTCAGATTAGAACACATATTTGTATATCACATCAATACTATATTATTTAATTCTTTGCTCTCTGGTTTTCCTGTCAAACTGATTGATAAACTGCAAAAAGTACAAAATTCTGCTGCTAGTTTAATAACTCAAGTCCAACTTTCATATCATATTACTCCTATTTAAGTTTAAATACACTTCCTTACATATAAATACTTAATTAACTTAGATCCCCCATATCTTTAAGAGCTCCTTGAAGTTTATTTTCTTAAAAGTAATCTCAGATCTCCAACAGGCCCATTCTTGTTAGTAGAACGTTCTGCAAACTTATGTTCGTTTTGCAATCGTTCATTGTTTGTTCATGCCCCTCTGCTCTGGAAAGAACCTGTTCATGGTTGGCGTTATTTAAGACATCAAAAAACGCACTTATTCTTATAACGTATTTTCAACGATAATACATCATTTGAATCTATGCATAGTGATGATAGTTTATCCATTAATAATAATGATAATAATATCTGATAATAATTATAGTTTTACCTGGCCTGTATCTTCTGGATTTCATGTTTTTCTTTGATATCGTCACTTTCACTTTCACTTTCAACTGATAGTTTTGCTAGAAGGCAATAAAAAGTTAATAGATCAATTATGCCCCAATAAAAATATACTCCACGAAGTTTTTCGTTTGATTAGACCTAATCCCACTCAAACACTGCCCTACTCCCCTCCAATTTCTGTTGCAAATTATGATTGGTTCAATAGCCCGTTCAACAACCAATGCATTACTACGTAACAAAACCATTCGGGGTTAACCAGCTCTTAATATGTTACCGTAAAGTGTTTGGTGACAATCGCGGCTACATTACGTCATAACGCGCGACATGTATTACGCACAATTAACTGGCACTAATTGTTTTATAAACGAGGCTATCCTGAATTCCTACAATGTAAACATTCGGTAATCGACGCACACGTGTAATCTTTTGATTTTCTCTTGGAGCACACAGCAGACGAACAATATTTTAACCAGCTTTTAATACATTTAATCAACCGACGAAGAACCCAGATCAAAGAGAAGGGCTGTCATGTTACGTATTGTGTTTCACCAAACTGGATAGAAATACAATAATATATATAATTCATGGATTATCTAAACAAAAATGGATAAATATTATCGAATACTTGGTAGGCAGTAATAATTGGTACAAACAGACACGTTTATAGAATTTATATAGAAGATTTGAGTCAAATAATTTTCGTTCCAATAGCGAGTTTCTGCGACGGCCAAATTTACCGATGCGATTATCGATGTTTGCTCCCGATGCATCCAAGGCCAGGGTTAAAACATTTCTTGAAATCAGCACTCACAAGCACTGTGATATTATGTTTCAAAGAGGTCGCCAACGTTAAGCGGCAGTCATGGAAATTCCCTTTATTTTACTGTAGGCCTACACAGGAAAGATTTGATAGGACATCAGCAAATGGACACACTCCATCAAAAACTCAAGTTTTCAGTTTAAGTATAGCAATAGCTAGAGAGAAATTTCTCGGGCCATTGCATCAGGAATATGCACCAATGTTAGAATGTATAATGTCTTATATATTGGATCTGTTTTATAACTGACTAAACTGTTGTATAAAATTTATAAATCAAGGACAAATATAGTTTCGATACACAATTCGAGGACAAAATAGCTCCATAGTACAACAACAGTAATACCGTATCGCAATCGTTACAAATGGAGAACTTAGTTTACAACTTATCACTTTACCTATTTTAGTTGGTATCAGGTGTTCCATTTCAACATCACTCTCGTTTGAGCTTTTTCTTTTAAATGTTCTGCCATCCCTTTGTACATTGGTCTTATCCATTCTAAAACAAGAAATATCTCAGATAAAACACAAAGAACAGTAATAACGTCTGTTTGGTTGACGGAAAGATGCTTAGATTCCTAAGCATGCTGTATAGAATGTATATCTTTTAAACTGTGTTACCTGGCTGTTCTCATAGTTGAAGAGATCAGTACTAAAGTGGGCCAACCCACATTGACAAGTTTTCGAGAAATGTGACTTCAAAATTTAACGATGATTAAAAATTATGTAATTCACCCGATCAGTGATATTTTGACATCTTATATGTCTTGTCATATCTTAATTCATGATGATCAGTGATATTTTGACATCTTATATGTCTTGTCATATCTTAATTCATGAGAATATTTTTTAAATTCACTTTGTAATATTTCCCCGAGATTTTGTGGGGTAATGTGTTAAATGCATTAAAGCTGACTACAGTGTGAGTAATAATTGTGGGTAAGAATTGCTTTATTCATACACTTTAAACTTTGCTTTTTTTATAATATAGATTTATTAAAATGAACAAAACAACATCCTTTTTGGATAAAAACGTTTCAATGCTTTTTGTACTGCTAGTACTAGCTAAGTTTTCAATAATTAAATTACATACAACTGCTACACACCGCTGATGTTTAAAAAGCGTCTGCTTGTGACCTTGTGTAAGAAAATTCTCAAAAATCACGTGCAGCGGAAGTAAGTAGATGCGATCTTCAAGTCTTGTGTTGTAAATTTAAACAGTTTAACAATACTAAATGATCCGGACTATCTTCCATTCAAGCATTCGATTGGCTGCGGTATTCCTGACCTAACAGTGACAGTAATCTATTTATAGATCGTTTTATTCTTGCTTTCAGAAATTAAGTTTCGTCGAGTTTTCTAAAAATATTCGGTTTTTTTTAAAATATGACAGCCTATTTATAGCCTGGTAATTAGCCGCGTAAGTGTTTTCAACATTTAACGATACTCAAAACATTAGTTTTATCATAGTTTATTGTCGTCGGCTAATTTCAACTGCTGTATAGTGTATTTATTATCTATGTTTATGATAATTTTTTTCGATATTTGAAGTTTTTGGCGATATTCGATAAACCACTATATCGTAGTTGGGTCTGAAAATACCATATCGCGATAAATGACTATATTGAGAACATCGTACAGTCCTAACAAAAATGAACTTATATTTAGCGATTAAACAAAATTTCTAAAATGAGACGCTGTCTTCGAAAAGAGCCATAATATCCTAATATCGATGACTAGTCCGATCGTTAATGTAAATCCGTCGGCTTTTCGGGTAGAAATCGTGGAATAAGCTTTATTTTGTAGGTTTTGATGGTTGATTACAAAAAATCAATGTTGACATTTTTTTTGAGTAGGTCTTCACAGTATGGGAGGCCATTATTTGAGGGCAGCCATTTTGCGATAATATTCCAAATTATTTTTTATTTTCACATTATTTATAATGTTATCGACATATCAACTGTGATTTAGCAATGTATTAATATTGGCAGCATTCATGACTATATCTCAGATTGTTTTCCATCATTTCATGAGGATATTTCCAAGATGGCGCACATTTTTAGCGGGATAATCGGTCGATGTGCTGATTTCGATTAAGTAGTAGTGTTTGGTGTCAATATATATGTTTTGGGGGTCACAAATTACATTCCTGACATTAACAACCTTGTAAAATGATCACATGTTCATATACTTAGCATATTACCAAGATGGCGGGAATTTTTGGCGGGAAAATGAGACGATGTGCAGATTTTGATTAAGTGGTCGTGTTTGGTGTCAATATATATGTTTACGGGGACGTAGAATCAATTTCTGACATTTACAACCTTGTAAAATGATCACATGTTTACATATTTAGTATATTTCCAATATTGCTGCCACTTGTGGCGGGAAAATTGGACAATGGGTTGATTTCGATTAAGTAGTTGTCTTTGGTTGTTTTCGGGGAGGCAGATTCGATTTCTGTCATATACAACTACGTAAAATGGTCGTATGTTCACCAATTTAGCATATTTCCAAGGTGGTGGAAATTTTTCTAAACACATTATTAGCATTTATTTATCATCGATTTTCCTGTGAAAGTGAAGCCTATTCCTGGCATGAAGGCAAAAAGAGCAAAGCGGCAGCGTGGTGCTTACGCCACGTGCCCATCATTGTTTTTTTGTCAACATTGTTTTTTTGTAATCAAACATCAAAACCTACAAAATAAAGCTTATTCCATGATTTCTACCCGAAAAGCCGACGGATGGGAATTAGGTAACAAACCGAATCCGACTAGACACCAAGACATAGCACAAAGTCACCCGATGGATATTTTAACTACAGTCTGCGAAACACTTTCTGCACCTCATGACGATCTGACCGGTAGTAGTAAAAGTTTGCCGCAGAGGTTGTACGAACGGATTTTGACCCTATGACGTCAGACATTGATAAATCAATAAGCGTGGACGTTTCTAGTGGTTTACCCACAGTTCCGTGTATCGCACGCCAAGAAGTCGCCGTAAAAGATTGTGTCATTGGCTAATCTCTCACGCCATCCAGAGCGCAGGTTATGTAACAACTCTTCCAGATCTTAGCGTAGTACAGACAAATAAAACCAAATTTTGAACTATAAAAAACGAAACGAAATAGGATCTGTGTTTTAATCCGATTGAGCGTCGTGGGCTAAGTAACAAGCGACCATCTCTGATATGTAATCTTCACCCTCGCTAATCAACCCTTTTATACAGGTCAACAGCACGTGCACGCCAATAATATGCATGAGTTTGGGCGAGCCATATACGTACGTAATTGAGCTCAGAGAGCCAACCTAATAAACACCTACACCAAGTTTGAACATTTTAGCTCAATTAAAAGGGAAGTTATTGTGTCCCCAAGACCGAAAGACAGACAGACGGACAGACCCATTTTAATTGTCTACTGTTTTCTTCGAAAGGCGGGGGACAATACGTATTTATGAATGTAAAATGGATAAACTGACTATGATTTCTTCCGACCCCAAAATATAAATATATTAGAACTTACAAATCGAGAGTGAAGACCTTATCTGTACCACTTTCCATTTCTTCAACTGATGTTTTATTAGTTTTATCCTTCTTGCCCTGAAATAAAACACTCATATATATTTAACTTGGATATAACATTTTATCGTGCTTTGTTTAGTATCTTACAATGGAGGATGTGAAATATTAAGATTAACATCTTTAACTTTTTACAATATATAAAATAGTATTGAGAGTATAAATATATCTAGAAGAATACATGGACCTGATGCATCATCTGTCTTTCACCCAAGTAATAAGTGGTATCCGGTGTTCCAGAAAGAGTAAGTACGCCTGTATTTATTGTAGCTATGGATAATGATGCCTTACCTATAACTACTTGATAAAACCTAGTAATATGTCTTACTGATAATTAATTGTTAAATCCTTTAATTATAATTACAGTTTGTCCTAATCTTTAATCATAATTACATATTGCCAAAAAATATCTATATATTTTCGTCATCTTTAATTATGCTTATATATTGTCGTCATCATTAAACATACATTAGTGCAAGAGCTAAATCTGCCAATTGCAGGTCTTTCCTTAGACCTGAAATGTTATGTTATATAAACCATTAATTAGGCAGTAATTAACTTATCCAGATCATAATCAACTCTCGGTAATATCGCTAGTATCAACTCTCGGTAATATCGCTAGCCTGTGTTATTTACTGGATTAGAACCCGGTCTGCTGCTGCTGATTAAATCAAAAACTGGATAATCGAGACTATGTTTTTTATCCTACCGATTTTAGTAATGATGATCGCTAAATTCTGGGTTCAGAGAGGATCGATTTGATTGACCTTTCCACAAATTCCCTTTACAGTATCTAATTTTTAACTATTATAGTGAGAACTGTCATCTCTTTATCTAATCTCCCATAATGTATCTTTAATTATGGTCGTATAGTGTCGTCATCTTTTTGTTCACTGAATTTTGAAATTTATGTTTTTAACTACTCTACTATTAAAAGTGTCCATCCATCAATATCTAGTGTATAGAGTACAGAAGTACAGGAAATGTATACGGTAATATCTTACTGGTACTAATCTTCTTTCTGTTTGCTGTTTAGCCGATATGTCTGCAAGAAAATAAATAATAGTTTACATACACTGCCTCATACATAACATACTACACATAGTCTACAAAATAAAACTCACAACTTTGTTTCACAATAAATCATGACAAGATCAAAAGTATGCCGACAAAAATTGATTTCAAGAGTGGTTTAACAAAAATATATTTAAATTGTATATCAGCTATGCTCAATCACCGACATACCTTCTCCATGATTCACCTGGTCTTTATTTAGATCGTCATCTATTGGTAATAATATCAGGGGTTTATCTTGATCTAGTCGTTCATCATCTGTTCGGTCCATGTCTACATTGCTATATGTTGCTTGTTGATCAAGTTGTTCCTGTAAGCGGCAAATAATCAGTTCTTTATCTTGAAGTTTGTCAGTATATTTTTTAGCTAAATATTCTTGGTATTTCTCCATTTCCTGAGAGTTGGCTGATGTTGTCTTTAAAGCTGTATTTTCAATAAGCAGCTCATGTATTTGTAACTGCAAGGTTTCGATTTCATTTTCAAGAACAATAATTCTCCTCTGGATCATCGATTCCCTTTCGGAAGTGAGCTCCTCATCTACAAAAGATATACGTTTAAAAGCATGGATTAGGCTATATCAATATCAGTGCTGGACGTCATTTTAATCCCTAGTAAACTACAGTATTTTAGATCAAAGATTAGTAAAGCTCTCTGCTACGATGAATGAATGATTGCCATCGGGTTTAACGTCCCACTTTTCTGCAATCGCCGTAATAATAAATACGGGCATACGCCATATGGTGTGCTATACGGGAAATTTTCCCCAGACAGCAATTGCCGTATAACTCCCAAGGGTTTGTTCAAATATTGTGGTCAAATTTGTAGAAATTTCACATTTTGCGAGGAGGGTTTGGTCGTCGAATGGGTAGCGCATGCGCGTTGTATGATAATGTCTGTCATTGAGTCAGCTGTTGTGGTTTCGATTCCTTGCTTGTACGTAACAGGGAGTAGGGGCGCCTGTCCAACATCGTGTGTTTTCTCTGGATCCTCCGGTTTCTTCCCACTGCTAAAGACCCCTACACGAAAGCAAATGATTGAAATAAAATTAAATCATATGTTAGTTCCGATATGACCTAGTTTGTGCCGAGTGGACGTTAAACCCCATTTCGCTCTCCCTCTCTCTCACACACATTTTGCGACAATTGTCCGGTGATCTGAAACGCATG